TTTTGTATGAGGTGAACGTGATAACCACTCCACTACAGAAACCACCTAGAGTTTTTTGTTTTGAAACATTTGTTTTATGTGTTAGTTTTATATCTTTGACTAAACAGCTCATCATTTAGGGGCAAGAACAATACGCTTATTTTTGTATTTCTCATAGTACTGAAAGAGGTGTCCTGAACATTGTAGGAGTTTAATAAACATTGCTGATTGACTTCTCTCTTGGATTGTGGAGTGAAAACTGTATGGTTATTCCATCACTCTGCAGCATTTGCTGTAAGAGAAAGAGAGAGAGATTTGAGAATCAATAAATAATAAATAATAAACTCTAGGTATGGAGTTTGGAGCCAGAAAAGTCAAAGATACAAATCTCAGACTTGTATGGGTAACCTCCCCTTCATTTGTCTTGCATGAATTAGAGCATGAGACAATATGTACTCCACCTCTCCAAGGATTATTACGAGCTTTGTAAGAAATAACATGTACTTAAAGCACCTTGTGCTAGAAGTGTGGTTCAAGTGGTAGAACACCTGTCTTGCAAGCATGAAGTCTGAGTTCAAACCCGAGTACCACTACCAAAAAAAAAAAAATCTTGTGATTGTTATTTAATCCATATGAAATGGGACCAGAAAGGAGGAGGCACACTAATTTTAGTGTGAAGAGGGGGATATAGTTCACCTGACCCTATTACCTTTGATCCCACCTACTTGGGGACAATGGATTTTTATAGTACTGGGCAATTGGCTTTCCAAATGTGTCTAGGCAGCAGGCATTTTCCTCCTCATCCCCTATCTCTAGCCAAAGTCATTAATTCTGCCTCAGACTTCCTATTGTCTAAATCCATAGCCTGACTCCCTGTGGAATCTGGCATCTTGGCTCAGGCCCTTATCTTATCTTAACTTATTCTGCCTCTTCTTGCCTCTGGTCTCTGGCCCTCTTTCCTTATCCTCATAGAGGGCAGTTATTGTCCTGCAGAAGTAAATCTGGTCACACAGCTTCCCAGTTTAAGTAAGTGTACTGGATAGCTTGGTCTCTTGGATATCTAAAGAGGGAAGTCCAGTTATGAGGCTGTTGCAATCAGATGAGAGGTATTAGTGAAGAGGGGTAGACAGAGAGGTGGGAAAGTTTTGAGAACTAATGCATTATACTAAACTATGTTTGTATTGCTGTACAAAATGTGTGATTTCTTCTGTGAACTCATGCAATAAATATCTACTGCATGCTGCGTACCACATGGTATGGCAAATATGAGTGAACAAACATAGACACAGAACCTGCCCTTTTGTAGCTTGGACTAGTGAAGATCTAAAGTACGGGCGTTTAGAAAATAAACTGGGTTGGGGGTGGTGGCACATGTCTGTAATCCCACACTTGGGAGGAGGAGGCATGAGGATCATGAGTTCAAAGCCAGTTTGGGTTACATAGAAAGACTTTGTCTCAAAAAAAACAACAAAAAAAAGAAGATAAAAAATTTAAAAAAATGTAGAAAATAAGTGAAGTATGGTGGTGCACACCTGGAAGCCTGGCATAGGGGAAGCTGAGATAGGAGGATCTTGGGTTCGAGGCCAACCTGGACTACATTTCAAGACCTGTCTCAAAAAAAAAAAAAAGACTAAAGAAAAACAAATAGGAAGTCAATCATAGCCAAGTGATAGTGACTTGGGAAGTACTTGAGAGAAACTGGTCAGGGGAAAGCCCTTTGAGGAGGTGATATCTGAACTGAACCTTAGTGAGGAGGAATAGACAGCAGGGGACAGTTCTGGAGAACAATATTCTAGACATAAGATAAAGGAAGAACACTGGGCATTTTTCAGAAAAGCATACTAGTGTGAGTGCCCAGTAGTGTACTGGGAAAGTTTTTTTTCCTTTTTATTTATTTATTTACTTGGTGGTAAATAAATATTCAGGGACTTGTGCTTGCTAGGCAGATACTTTACCATTTGAGCCCTGTCCCCAAATCTTGGGGAAGTCTTATGGGCTATGGTGAAAAGAGAGACAGGGATCTCAAAGCCTTAGTAGTCATTGTCAGAAGTTTGAATTTAATTTGAAGATTGGAAACCACTGGGTGCAGTAGCGCATACTTATAATTCCAGCTACTCAGGAGGTGGAGATTAGGAGGATTGCCGTTTGAAGCCAGCTAGGACAAAACAGCAACTACAGCAATCAATAGGCTATGCATGGTGTTGCACCTGTGGTCCCAGCTACACTGGAGGAAGGCTGCAGGTGGGAGAATCATGGCCCAAGCTGCCCGCCTTCAAAAAAGGTGAGACACTATCTAAAAAACAACCTAAAATAGCAAAAAGGACTGGAGGTGTGACTCAACTGGGAGAGCACTTGCCTAGCAAATGGAAGGCCCTGAAAAAAAATTGGAAACCATCAAATGGTTTTGAGCCAGAGAAATACAATCTGGTTTATATTTTAAACAAGTCACTTTGGCTCCCAAGTGAAGAAGCGATTATAATAGTCAACGTGGAGGTAGGCAAGAATTGAAGCAAGATGATGTGGTATCGGCTCTAGCAGAGTCATTGGTGACACGGATAGAAGTGTCTTAGGACATGGAGAGAGACAGGGTCTATCTGACAGGTCAGATTGACTGCTTGCTGATGAATTGACTGGATGTGAGGGTGAGTGGCAGGAAGGAAAACAGATAACTTAAAGGGAATGGTGATTCCATTTGCTGAGACAACTGGGAAAGAACAAGATATGGGAAGAAAGGTTGAGTTCAGCCTTGCACATATTAAGTATGAGTTGTTAGCCACTTTGGTGCAGATGACAAATGACAGTTGGAGGAGTAAGTCTGGAGTTCTGGGAGAGGTCCTTGCTTGTAGATTTACTTTTGTGAGTCACTTGCGTGTAGATGATATAACAGTCACAAGGTTGGGAGGGGATCTCCCAGGGAGAACATGTAACTAGATTGAAGAACAGGGTGGAAGGCAGCCCTGGAATAGTCCGGCACTTTACAGTAAAGAAAACCAGCTGAGAGCCTTAGGAGCAAAGTTAGCGGCGGGGGGTGGGGGGGAAGCCAGCTGAATGACGCATCCAGCACGGACAGGGCAAGGAAGATGTGTCCAGATGGAGGGTGTGATCAATTGTCCCCAGCGTCACTGAGAGGTGGAGTAAGACCAGGGCAGGGAAGATATTTGCAACATGTTTGTAGGTCATGATGGTGACTAGGAACAAAGCAGTTTGGACCCAGTCCTGAGTGGAGTGCAGGGAAGGAGGGGTGAGGATGTGTGTTTGGCAAGGGTACACAGCTTTCAAGTTGTGCTGAAAGGCTGGATCATGGATGTTTTTGTTTTTTCATGTCTATTATCATTGTTTCATCATTAGTGTTAACAATAATGTCTGTACAGATTTCAAATAGAATCCACTCCTGCACAGATCCCTGCAGATCTTATTTTCCCCCCACTGTGACCTCTCCAACTCAAGTTTGCCATTCCCCACCAGCACCAATCTCATGTTTGCTAAGATGGGTATTTCATTGCCAGCTTCCACCAATATATGTAAATTTGGAGGCTGGTGGCAGGCATTAGTTGTGGCTGGGGCTTAATTCTTCTCAGCATCCATTAGCCAGCCCAATCCACCCAATCCCACACACGTCCAGGATCATCTCCTACCATATTTATCATCCACTCAGTTTCACAGCTGCAGACAATTCTCCTTTCCCGTCTTCTACTTTCCTGGCACCCAGAGGCAGGATAGGATAATGGGGAAGAGAATAGGGTCTCAAAGTCAGACATGTGTTTCTTTTCCCATCTGCCACTTGTTGGCGGTGTGACCTTGGACATCTTAACAGCACCGTGCCTCAGTTTCCTCATCTGTACAACAGAATCAGCGAAACGTATTTCCTATCAGTGGTGTGAGGGTTAGATGGGCCAGTTTTTTTAATGACCGGAATAGAATAAGCAGCAGCCAAGCCGGCTCATTTCGCATCAGCGATGCTCAGACGGGTTGAACCAAGATTGGTGAGAACCAGGATTGCTGAGAATCAGGATGGTTCAGATGTGTCACGGACAGTGGGAGCCTCTCACATGACCCCGAAATACTAGACGGTGTCTCTCCACACAGGGCGTATGCTGGTCCACTTGTCTTTCCAGTCACCGTGCATCTCCTGAGGCCGCGATCACACGCCCCCCACCCGTAGCAGAAACTGACGCGGCGGCGGCTCATGCGCCTTTGAGTCCTAGGCTTTTGCCACGGAACACACGTCCCATCCTCGGAGCCCGGCCCCGCCCCCCGCTCGGGGCTCGCCTCTCCGGAGTCTGGCTCGAGTATCGAAGCGGCCGCGCCCGCGGGCTCTGCGCGCTGATTGGTTGTGCCGCGCCAGCGGGCGGCCCGCGGGGGGCACACACCCTCTCTGCGCAGCCAATGGGTGTGCGTGCGTCACTGACCGGGCGGCCCTCGAGCCGGCTGCACTTCAATAAGCCACATTGTTGCACGAAACTCTAGAGCTAGAGTCCCAGCCACCGCTAGCAACAGCGTGTCATTCAGCGAAGGAAATCTTAGGGCAGCAGGAGCCTCGCGCAAACGAACTCGAGAGAACCGACCGCCCTAGTGGAGCCGAGCTGCGATTTTTCTTAAATTGAGCCTTAGTGACTGCGGCTGAAGTTAGCGCCTGGACGTTGGGTAACCAGACACGTCGTCAGAAGTGATACTTAGGCACCTTTTAGCAGTTGTGACTCCTAAGACCTCTTCCTAGAGATCCGGGAACCCCGAGTCGCGAGCCATCTCTGTTAGCGTGTGTGTGTGTGTGTGTGTGTGTGTGTGTGTGTGTGTGTGTGTGTGTGGCCCCTGGACTCCTCACTCCGAACCGGGCTGGCAGGCGCGGGTACAAAGCGGTCGTACGGCGCCTCCCGCCTCCCCCGCCAGCGCTCGCGCCTCGGTTTCCTTTGGTCCTGCGGCAGGATGATTGCCTCGCATATGATCGCCTGCCTCTTCACTGAGCTCAACCGTAACCAAGTGCAGAAGGTAAATCAGCACCGGCGGGGGCAGTTGGCTTGCTTTCCAATAAAGTTGCTTGGTTTCCGGGAATCTCCTGGATCCTGTGGGGGCTCGCTTCCTCATTCGGGACTGGGGACGCGGAAAAAAATCTGGGTAATTGGGAAACTTCTTGAGCTCGAAGAGCCACGTCCGCTAGGCAGCGGCAGGCTTGGGAGCGCTTCCGAGGCGCGGGGCTCGCGCACCGCCCGGCTCGCTCCCTCCCCGCTGTCTTGCGCGGGGTCGCGCTCGCCCCCTATCCCCTTTATTCTTGTTTCTGGAGGGGCGGGGGGTCGCCTGGCACGTACTTAAGGACTGCTGGGGCCACGTGGGAGGAGTCCTTCTCCAGCCCGAGTTCCGGCAGAAGCACGTGGGGAGAAATCATGTCTGGGGGAGGAGGCTCCGTGGCCGCGTGGGGTTGCTTAGGGGCCTCCGCGCGTAAGCACGCGCTTAGGAGTCGTGTGGTTTCCCTTATGGTTCCTCACCGTCCTGTGGAGGTAGACTAGAGGAAAAACCGAGCCGGGAAAGAGCGGGAAAGGGTACAGAAGAACTTGCCTGCCGCGCCCCCTCCCCGGAACTGAGGTGCCCGGAACTGAAGCTCGGAAAGGGGCGTCCCCCTCCCCCCAGATCTGCCTGGGGACCGCCCCGCTCGCGTCCCTGAGCCAGCCTCGGAGTGGGATGGGGGGTGGACGTTGGATGTTACTCTCTGGTTTGTCCTTAGGTTACTCCGAGAGAGTTCCCTCTACCCCCAAGATTCCCTGAACATTTTGTCGTTCTGAAAACGAGCTTTATACTGCCCTAGGCCCCGACCTGTACGTGCCCACCTAGCCCTCCGCAGCCCTGCAAACCCGAGCTCTCACCGCTGCCGGCCTGTTCATTTACATAAGAAAGAGCCTCGGGCCCTGCTGGGAGCCTTGCTCTCCCAGCCTCAGGGTATGGAGGTGTGGTGGATCAGTGCCGGGGCTGTGGAAACTCTCACTCTGGGGAGAATTGAGTTTCCGAAACGCCCTGGATTAAAGAATTGGCTTGTGGCCTGGGGCCTTGGCTAGGATTTGAGGGAGATGTTTTGGGGATGGGTGGTGGTGGTTTTGATGGTAGTGGGAGGATTGTTTTAGGCAATGACTGAGCATTATTCAATTACATACTTGAAATTTCAGTGTCTGATGGGAACACATTTTAGGGAAAATGTCTTGACATCATTCCGTGGGGCCACCTGATTGTATTCTCATTCTGGCAGTTCTGAGGGCATGCGAGAGGATGACAGGTTACCATCTTATTTCCAGAGCTGTGGCAGATGAGCCTCAAACTGGAGGAGAGAGCAAGGCGCCTGGTTTAGTTGGGGTTTGCTCTGTAAAAGGGCTGATATTCTCTAACCCCTTCTTGGGATGTGGCCCTGCACTGTGTTTATTTAAAAACGTGTCTTTTGAGCTGGCAGGATCTTGGCAACTTCTTTAGGCTTCACTGCCCGATATGAGTTAACTCTTGGGAGAAAGAAGACTGTCATCTCTTGGCAAGTCCGAAAATACAAAGTGGAGGATTGTTAATCCCAGGGAGGGCTTTTCAGTTGGGTGACTATGGCTCCAGGACCTCTGAATTCTCAGAGGAAGAGGCCAGGACTGGACCTGTAGAACCGAGTATTCCATTCTTGGGGCCTGGAGCAGGGGTTATCTTTGAGTTCCAGGGAGGAAAGAGAATTGACCAGGGTATCAGGAAATGAGTTTTAATCCCTGTCGAGTGGTTTATTCACCACAGGACCTTGAGCCTCTTTGGATGGCCCATTTCTTTTTGTAAGAGCACCCGAAAGCAGCCTTGTTCTCTTGTGGAGCTGTCATGCTTAATCATAACAAAGTGAAAACCTTTTTTCTTTAGGGTTCTTTTCTTTGCACTTGGAGCACCTTTCAGCCTGTGAAGTGTTCAAGGACACTTGGATGTATTTCCTCTAATTTACCAATGGAGGCAGAATTGATTCAGGCCTTTTATTCAACAGGTGTAGAATGGGATTTAGCATCCCAGTTTAGGTGAGCAAAGCTGTTCAATTCCAGCTGCAAGTAGATAGGAAGTAAGAAGAGAATCAGAGAGAATAACTTGGGGGTGTCTTTATGAGTTGCTCTGAGGAAAAAAATCAGGAGTGAAGGATGAAGCTTGAGTTTAATTTTGGCCTTCCGAAGAAACCTTCATTTGAACTCTTCTGGAATCCTTGTGATGACATCTTACATATCTAGTGTGAGAGGATGAAAGGTTTAGGGTCATCTGTCCAGAGCTAGCTAGCCCCATTGTGATCACTTGTCTCCTGGCGGACCAGCCCAGTGTTTTGTGGCATTAGGACAGGTTATTTGCTCACTTTTTCCAATTGAAACTTTGGAACTCAAGAGTGAACACAGAACATCTACTTTATACTTGGCCTTGTTTTAAACTTTTGACATAGGTTAGCTCATTAATATTCAAACAACCATGAGGGAAGTATAACTATTATGAGCATCCCTATTTTATAGGTGAGGAGTTGAGACAAAAAGTAACTTGCTCAAGGTCATTAGCTTTTTTTCTAAGAGCACAATACTCCTTTTTGCACTTTTTTTTTTTGTAAGAGCGCTGTGCTCTCTCTCTTTTTTTTTTTTTTGGAGGTACTTGGGTTTGAACTCAAGGCCTACACTTTGAGCCACTCCACCAGCCCTTTTGTGTGATGGGTTTTTTCAAGATAGGGTCTCTCGAACTATTTGCCTGGTCTATCTTCTAACTGCGATTCTCCTGATCTCTGTCTCCTCAGTAGTTAGGATTACAGGCCTGAGCCACCAGCAAATGCTGTGCTCTTGACCACTACTCATCTGTCTCTAGGGAATAGTAGTGGGTTTCTAGTCTGTGCCTGTGTCCACTCTTGGATGCTAGCACTACTTCTACCCAGTATGTCCAGAAATGAAACAAACTCCCTTGTTGAGTTGATCGATGGCATCAGTACCCACTGGCTTTTCTTTCTAGGAGCCCTGGATTCCTTTTTGCCTACTTTCTCTTTCTGAATGCTATGTAAAGTGGTCTGTGGGTTACTTCACAGGCCTTTGAAAGGTTTTCCCTATTTCTAGTCTCTGGAGCTAGGCTGAATTATTTCAGAAGCTTTCTGCAACTCTGTTGGCTAGTGTATGTCCCTGACCCAACGCCTCATCTCAGCCTCATCTTCCTCTCCATCCTTTCATTGAATGACCTGCCATTCCTTTGTCATGCCTGTCTGCCTTTTCTCCATCTATCCCCTTCCAACTCAAATGCTGCCTCCTTTCATGTTGCTTTCTGCTTTTTACCTGTCCTGTGTGCCCAAGTTGTTGTACCAGAACCTTTCATGGCATTAGAGTTGGTGGTTTTCAGTTTGAGTTCCTTCCTCAGGGCAGGGAGAATCCTTGCTGTTCAATTTTGTTACCATGGTTTTTGGTCACTGATGAGGTGCTCAGTGAGTGTAAGAGTGAAAGGGGAACTTCATGGAGAAATAAGCAGAGCGAGGGATGGGTGAGTGGAGCCTTAGAGGGAAAAGTAGTTCTCAGAGCTATTCTGAAGCATGGTCTGAGGCTGATTCTGAGTGGGAGAGATTGACAGACCATTTCTGTCTGTCCTCAGCAATCAAGGCTTTGTGTCCTGTTTGTGTGGAGAGATAGAGAATTCATTTTATTGAGGTGAATTAATACACAAGATAAAAGATCTTTGTTTCTAAGGGATGAGAATCAGAGCAGAGTTAACTCTAGAAGAGAAATAAATGTGTAACCCTTCCTTTAGCTATTGACCACATTGTTTTAATACATAGACTACAGATATATAACTTCAATCCTGTAATCTACAGAGCTCACTTAGGTTCCTTGCCATATGAACAAGTAGTGGCCTTCCACTCTGGATTTGAGGAGGGCTATCTAGGAAGCAAGGAAGATTCAACAGAGCCCTGAAGAGTAAGGTAGACAAGGATTTTAATGTTCTTTTTTTTTTTTTGAGAACCTAGTAAGGATGCAAGGCCCTTTGGGTGGTAAGTGGGAAACAGAAGTGAAGACATCTTTCTGTTGTGCGGAGAGATAAGGCTCCAGGAAAAGATAATTTCTGGCCACTAAACCTAAAAAGGGTGCATTCTCATGGTTTGGTGGGGAGTTAGAGACGTCAACAGAACTTTAGTATGTTTTGAACACCTGCTACACCATTAATCTGCAACTAAGGGATTAAAGTAGTGGGAATAAGTTATTGATTAAAACTGTAATACGATTATTTTTGACTAGATTAATTTTGGCTCGTTTAACTGTCATTGACAAATATGTCATTTGGTCAATTTATAACAAGTTGGTATTCTAATATTGCTCCTTCTCCTACACAGAAGATAACTGATGTTAGCAGGAATACTTTGTAGCTTTTGCTAACCATCTTTTTGTTTTATATTTCCAAAATACTATTTCAGAGAACGCTAAAAAAAATACTTTTTCTTTACCCTTGAATGAATTAAAATTCCCTCTGAGGCTGCTCAGCCAAAGAGAACTTATTTTTGACATCACTTTTCAAAGTTGAACTTTTCTAGCACCTTGAGGAGTTTGGGAGCAGTTGGGGGCTGTTTTCTTCGGGTGTGGGGAGGTGGGGGAGAAGTAAGCAACACAAACCAGAGTTAAAATGTGATAGCTGAAGTAAGAAGATCTGATGTTCCAAAAAACTGGGGTGCCCCAGAAAATGGGCTTCCTTTGTTCAGATACTTCTGATTTAAAAGACTAGCTCTTGATAAGAGGTTCTTCATTATTGTGGAGTTTGGTTTATTTTCTAACTCTGGGTGTTATCTGTCTGTCATTTCAAAGCAGCAGGGGGTGTGGTGAATCAAATCTCAGAGTCATTGGTTGCATCTTAACAGCTCACTCCATGGTCACTTGGTATGCTTCCTTACACTGGAGGAGCTGTTGCTGCTTATTTCTAAAGCCGTTTTTTTCAACCTTAGTGCTATTGACATTTGGGGCTTATTGTTTGTTAGGGGCTGTCCTATCCCATCATAAAAGCAAGAATTTCCATTTTGTCCAAGTTTACGGAGGCAAGCCTGTGTCTTTTTACTTCCTTTTGAGGCATAATTTTCAACGGGGAGTGATTTTGCTCCTCTGGACTTTTGCAATGTCTGAAAACATTTTTGGTTGTTACAAGTTTTGCAGGTGAGTATGTTTCATCTCATAAGCAGAGGCTAGGGATAGATGTTAAATGATAAATACTATAAAATGCACATAGTGACTCCCCCAGACCCGAAGAAAGAAGAATCTGGTCAAAATGTCTATAGGGTGGAGGTTGAGAAAGTGCTTTAAAGTAAGGTTGCCAGTCCACTGCAGTCAGATGTTCACAAACCCTCACCGAAATGTGGGCAGTGCCAGCACTACTGAAAGCCAGTGGGAAAGAATTCTGCTCTTGTTCTTGGATGAATCCCCCTCAGCTGTATTGGAGTTTCCTTAGATGCTGGGTATGGGCCAGGCTTCCAGACAAGGCTGGCATGTGAGCTGGCAAGATGTGAACTCAGGAGCTGCCATAGATGGGGAGCAGAGAAGAAAGGGCTGGTGACACCCTCAGAGGGGCAAAAATAGTGCAGCATTCTTGGGAGAGGC